GAAGGGGGAGAGAGAGAATGGGGCATGACAGAAATGGAGAGTGAGAGATGAGATAAAGACATTTACACAACGCAACTACAACAAACACACCCACACATACCCTCCTAGTAACAGTCTGGCTGCAGGTGTAGCCTACCTCTCATTGTTGGTGACGTCCAGGTGTCTGTGGATGGACAGGAAGGCCTGTTTGAGGAAGCTGATCCTCTTCCTCTCCTCCTCCTGTGATTGGTCAAAAATACACTCCATCTCCTCCATGTAGCGAGGGGCATAGCGGGTCACCTCCTCCAGAACCTTCTCATAGCGGGCTCGCACCTGGGGGTGTCGCATTGGAGGGACAGTTACACATTATTACACACACAGACTCACACATTCAGTTATCTCCTTCATTCTCTTACTGTCTATCACTCACTTTCTCAGTCTCCTGCTGAGCCAGCTCTCTCTCCTCCTGGATCTTCCTCTGTTTCTCGATGGCCACGTCAGGGTTGCCCTTGGCGTGGGCCTCCCGGTCCCTGGCAGTCTGCTCCTTACGCTGCACTTTATGGAATGCACTCCTGGCTTTGTCCAGCTGAGGGGCATAAGGTGAGGCTGACATATTAGTGACTCAATGAAGACTCCCACACAAACACATACAAGTTATTTACCTCTGCCCTACCCTTTATAAAGGAATTTATCAGTAGAGATTGCCCTTTCAACGTGGTTATTCATAGTGTCTTAGAGACCTCTCTTTCATCTACAGTATTCTAACCTTCTTCAGCCGTTTGGCCCAGGGCTTCTGAGCACGTGCGAAGCCAGTCTCAAAGTCCTGGGACTCCTTGAAGCCTCCAAAGAGCTTCTTATGGAAGGTCTCTTTCTGCCAGGTCCTGACCCGGTCCCCGTCCTCCGAAACCAGGGAGCGACACACGGACGAGTGCAGGGCGGAGAGACGGTCGGCGGAGGAGAGGAAACATTGCCACGCCTGCAGGAGGGATCCATACAGCGGGCCTGTAGAGGGAGGAGAGCAGAGCAGAGAGAGGGATGAAGAGAGAGAGAGCGAGAGAGAGAGTGGATGGTATACAGTATCACCAGGGAACATACAGTGGGGAGAACAAGTATTTGATACACTGCCGATTTTGCAGGTTTTCTTACTTACAAAAATCCAGAAAATCACATTGTATGATTTTTAAGTAATTAATTTGTATTTTATTGCATGACATAAGTATTTGATACATCAGAAAAGCAGAACTTAATATTTGGTACAGAAACCTTTGTTTGCAATTACAGAGATCATACGTTTCCTGTAGGTCTTGACCAGGTTTGCACACACTGCAGCAGGGATTTTGGCCCACTCCTCCATACAGACCTTCTCCAGATCCTTCAGGTTTCGGGGCTGTCGCTGGGCAATACGGACTTTCAGCTCCCTCCAAAGATTTTCTATTGGGTTCAGGTCTGGAGACTGGCTAGGCCACTCCAGGACCTTGAGATGCTTCTTACGGAGCCACTCCTTAGTTGTCCTGGCTGTGTGTTTTGGGTCGTTGTCATGCTGGAAGACCCAGCCACGACCCATCTTCAATGCTCTTACTGAGGGAAGGAGGTTGTTGGCCAAGATCTCGCGATACATGGCCCCATCCATCCTCCCCTCAATACGGTGCAGTCGTCCTGTCCCCTTTGCAGAAAAGCATCCCCAAAGAATGATGTTTCCACCTCCATGCTTCATGGTTGGGATGGTGTTCTTGGGGTTGTACTCATCCTTCTTCTTCCTCCAAACACGGCGAGTGGAGTTTAGACCAAAAAGCTATATTTTTGTCTCATCAGACCACATGACCTTCTCCCATTCCTCCTCTGGATCATCCAGATGGTCATTGGCAAACTTCAGAGGGGCCTGGACATGCGCTGGCTTGAGCAGGGGGACCTTGCGTGCGCTGCAGGATTTTAATCCATGACGGCGTAGTGTGTTACTAATGGTTTTCTTTGAGACTGTGGTCCCAGCTCTCTTCAGGTCATTGACCAGGTCCTGCCGTGTAGTTCTGGGCTGATCCCTCACCTTCCTCATGATCATTGATGCCCCACGAGGTGAGATCTTGCGTGGAGCCCCAGACCGAGGGTGACCGTCATCTTGAACTTCTTCCATTTTCTAATTATTGCGCCAACAGTTGTTGCCTTCTCACCAAGCTGCTTGCCTATTGTCCTGTAGCCCATCCCAGCCTTGTGCAGGTCTACAATTTTATCCCTGATGTCCTTACACAGCTCTCTGGTCTTGGCCATTGTGGAGAGGATGGAGTCTGTTTGATTGAGTGTGTGGACAGGTGTCTTTTCTGGTTGGTAGGTGATCAAATACTTATGTCATGCAATAAAATACAAATTAATTACTTAAAAATCATACAATGTGATTTTCTGGAAAAATTACAGACCTCTACATGCTTTGTGAGTAGGAAAACCTGCAAAATCGGCAGTGTATCAAATACTTGTTCTCCCCACTGTAGTGAACAAACAGTAATAGTGAGTCTCTTCAGCTGCAGCACTCACTGGAGTCCACCAGGGGCTTCCACTTGTTGCTCCACTCGCTGAGCTGCTGAGCGTACTGCCTCTCCACACGGGCTCTCTCCTGGAAGCACACCACGATGTCATTACACGCCTGGAAGGCATCCTCTGTGCGCTTCACCGTGCACTGGTAGTTCCCAGGCTAGGGGGAGGACAGAGGGAGGGAGGGAGGGAGGGAGGGAGGGAGGGAGGGAGGGAGGGAGGGAGAGAGAGTGGGGGGAATAGAGAGGGTGAACAAGGACGAGGAGGGAGAGGGAAAAGTTTGAGATTGGACATACAGTAGTAATGTAGCAATAGATATTAACACGGATAGTCAAGTTCCTTTCAGTTAAATAACTATTTTACTGTTTCCTCTGTAAACTCTATACACCGTGACCTGTAACCTGTTCTCATCCTAACGTCGATCTGTTTTCCTTTAGACGAGCCATTTTAATGTCTTGAGGTTTCTGTAAAAGCCTAATGAAGGCACCATGGGGTGTGGCTGGTGAAAACAGGGCTATAGACAGGCCAGTAAAAGGACAGATGAAAAGGGAGTGATGGAGTAACAGGGCAATTCACTGAGGGTAATGACATTACCAGAGTTGTGTTTGTAGATGTGGAGTTTGGAAAACGCTCCATTATTTTCCTGGCACTATTTTCACCCCTCCACTTCAGTTTTATTAGTTTTATTAGTTTTTCTCTCTCTCTTCCTCTCGTTTGCTCTCTCTCTCTCTCTCTCTCTCTCTCTCTCGCTCTTTCACTCTCTTTCTCTCAAACATTCACACACCTTGGCACATTTCCAAACAATATGTGTGTAATTGTCTCTCCTTTAGGTCATCCTATTCTCTGTCCCTCCAGCTCCCTCTCTGTTTGAGTATGTTGTGGTTTCTACTGACTCTGAGAATTAAGTGAAAACAGCTGAGGAATCTTGCCCAAAGCCAACAGTACTGCACCAGAACTAGCCGCAGCCAACCAATCACAAAGGCAGAGACAGAGCCACTACAACTGAGCCGGCACAACACAACAGTATATCACAGAAAAAAAGGTCATCAGAGATCTGACATGGTTCTCTGTAACAAATCACATTTCATGTACATACCAACACAGTAGCGCAATCAAATGGCTGTATTGCTGCGTACATAACACGCAGAACTAGAACAATGTGAAATGCTGTGGAAACGACATAGTGAACCTTTACACTCAAATCAATCTGACAGTACATTGGAGTGCCACTCTAATGATGGCTATTCTACACACTCCACAGCACTTAACTAGTAACAACTATGACAACACAACCATAATAATTAAGAGTCAGAGCACATATTCAACCCAACACTTCACAATGACAGGCAGCAGCCAGAAGAGGAGGGCCAGAGAACAGCACTAACAGGAACTGAGCTGGAAACACATCCAACACAACAGGAGGGAGCCCAAATTACAGAGAGAGAGAGAGGAGATGAAAGTGGGGCAATGACCAGGAGGCCAGCAATCAGGAAGAGAAGAAACACACACTGGTCAGTCAGATGGAGCTGCTACTAGCCAATCAGTGGAGTATAGAAGCCAAACCAACTAATCCAATTGCCATAGCACATTTATCAGTCCATCATGATATGAGCATTATGGAGTATGGTTAAAAACTACAATATTTTTCATTTGAGAAACGTATTGGCTATCTGCTCCCTCTATGGACCCCAATGGACATGTATATTTATCATTGTCACAGTTGTATGTATGTATATATTATTATTATTATTGTTTAGTTTTTTTGTTTCATTCACACCTGCACGGTTGGAGCTTGGAGCTTAAGTATTTCACTGTACACTGGAACTAAATAAAAATCTAATCTAATCTTAAGCATCCAACAACCCATACGTAAAATGTATGGACGCATGACTGTAAGTTGGTTTGGATAAAAGCGTCTGCTAAATGGTATATTATGTATTATTAAGTTGCCATAATCAATTTCAGAGTTGTTAATTAACAGGTAATAACATTGTAATGATTAGGTTACGTCTGTAAAGAGATGGGTGAATGATGGGATGAGTACACACAAATGTCCCAGCTAAAAGGGTAGCAGAACTTCATTTCTCTGAAGCTAAACAACATATAGCGAGCCTAGTGTGATAGAGAGGCCTTGTACACATTGACCTATGAGCAGCAATATTGTTTTGTCTGTCACGGGAATCTCTTGTACAAGGTTATCAAGACATCCTGAGGCTAAGTGATCCTGTGTTTTCCTGTCTGTTTCTTCCTCCTCTCCACTTCTTTCTCCATCTCTCTCACTCTATCTCTCTGTGTGTCCTCTATCTCTTACACAGGCATTGCACGTGCACACACACACACACACACACACACACACACACACACACACACACACACACACACACACACACACTCACCATCCAGAAGCTCTGTTTGTTGGCATCTTCAGGGACAACCTCAGGAGGGAGAGTCGACATCCTGTCCGCTGAAACAGAAAAATATAAAGTGAAATCAGTTATATCTCCTTCAACATTCTGTGCACCTCTCATCATACCTTTACTCCACCCAGGTGGTCAGTTGAGTACAATGATGGAAATCCATGAAGACCAGTTTGGTTTATAATGTTTTAGATAGTTATTTTCCTACACAGTAAAGTTTATTAAAGAGATTGTTACATGTATAAATAAAGTTGGACAGATAAGTGGATACACTGTAAAGACCTTGCTGTGAATTTGACAGTAACTTACAGGCAGCTCAGTGGTAAGTAAAATTCTGTATTTCATATTGCAGTATACCTACTGTAATATAAATACGGTATCAAAGCAATCACTCGTCAACTGTGAATTAATGAAATTCACTGAGGGGAGGGGTTTATGTTTCACAGTATTTTACTGTAATTACAAGGGATTGGTGCAAGCAGGTTGACTGCTGCAGTATGTAAAGTGTTTACACATATTTAGTGTTTTATATCTATTGCACTTCTAGATGCCTTAACAAAGGCTTCCAAATTGGCTGCAACTACAGAGCAAAACAGACCAAGGACATGGCAAAATGTTCAACAAATTTAAGGTTGAACCTTTTACTGCAGTGGGCTAAATCAGGGTCACACAGAGTGATTCTTGGTAGTCTTAAACAAATCTACTTTGAAACAAAAGTATACACCTCACACACATGGTTATAGGCTTAAAGAAACAAGAAACCTATACCATGTCAGATATAGAGTTGAAATGTATAAGATCTTGAGTTTGCATCCCAATATTACACTTTATATACATCACAGAAGACTGAAATATAACAAAACTGTTTGACATAGAAACACTGTATTTTCGTTATTAAAAAAGTATATATATTGATTAATTATAAAATTATGAAAAATATTGATAACATTCCACCCATGAGGCTAAAGAGAGCGCTTTTGGTCATTGACTGCAGGAAAGGGCTACAACTTGCTGCCATTCCAATCTGTCCCCTATACATGTTTAATTGATGGGGCACTATAACCACATAGGAGTTAAATTTGTACAGCATTCTCACTCACAGGTGCAACAAATATAGCCTCTTACAAGGCACGTCTCAAAATATGGTAAGACAGCTTCTCTGTGGAAACGTTGGTTATTAGGTCATTAAATGATTGCATCTGAGCGTGTGCAGTTCTCTTCTTTTTCTAGTGTTCTACTCCGCTAGCCAGCACCTCGCCTAAACAGGTGTGCCTTTCTTTCACATCCAAATTAGCCAGAAACAACAATACCATGCACCCACTAGTGTATTCTGTGGTGTGGAATTACAATACCATTCAAAATACAGCAATTATTTCCCCGGACACAAATTCGTTGTTGTTGATAATACCCCAAATTACCGTATAAATTACACTTTTCCGTAGGTGAGAGTGAGTTATTCTGGCATGGTACAGTATCAGTATAATACAGTAAAACAGATACTCAGAGGTCTGGCATTTAAGGCCCTGAGTCTACCAGCAAGGATGGAATGCCCTCTCCCACAATTCCCAGCTTTGAAACTTGAGCCATCCCAAAATAAACAGGGGGTAAAGGTCGCCCCACTCTCCCCGTCTCCCTACTCTCTCACTCTCTGTGTCTCTGCTGGTGGGCTTGTCCTCCCCTTGCTCCCTAGAGAAAACATAAAAACATAGACCCACATGCAATACACACACAACACACACACAAACTCACATGCTCCTAAATCTACAGACATGCACTCAGACAGACAGTTCTGGTTCCAGAGACATAAGCGGTTTCTTAGGGCCCTCGGCCGCTAGCGGGCCCCCGACCCAAAAAATGATAATTGTCTCAACCTACTATTGAGAGTAAGAATACACCAGGTGCAATTTCAAAATGTGGTTGTACATCAGCAGCTTTTCTCCTGCAGAGGAGGCTAGTGGGAGGAGCTATAGGAGGACATCCTCCAACAATAAGCCCGTCCTCCTATAGCTTCTCCCACCAGCCTCCACTGTTCTCTTGTTATGTCAGTCACTGATAGTCACTCAATTAGCAATGTCAGATAACACTTTTTTAATTGGTAGTTAGTCTAGCCAGCTATCTAAACTTGTCGTAATCATGGCCTCCAGGGGGCCCCCATTGATTTTATTAGTCACTCTCACTAAGATATCATATTAACATGGCATACGTCATTACAAAATGTGTAGAATTGCAGGAAATTAGCTTCTAAACTGCAAAAAAATCCCCAAAAGGCTAGAGCCAGCCATCTAGACAGACTCACATGCTCAGTGACACAAAATATAAACTAGAGAGACAAACCCACATGATCCCAAACAGCTCACAATAAAACCTCTCTCAAGGCATTTTACAGAGAATGTAACAAATCCCACTCTGTCACAAGACTAATCTTTCTCTGACTGTTTTCCAGATATCTCTATCTCTCCCACCCTCAGTCAGACCCACTATCAGATCCAATGATTATTCTGTAACTCGGCCTCTATTCATGGGTTATCACATGATTCTCCATATCCAGTGAGGGTCTGTGATGAAAGTGTGGATACTCTCTTTCTGTCCCCTTTTCTGGTCTGATCTGTCTGTCTGTTCTCTCTCTCTTCTCTCCTCTCTCTCTCTGCCTCTGTTGTCTGTCTGTCTGTCGGTCTGGTCGTCTGTCTGTCTGCTCGTCTGTCGTCTCGTCTGTCTTTCTGTCTGCGGTGTCTCTCTCTTTCTC